CTTTTAAATTTCCTCACCCAACCTCTTCAGATAGAACAGAATGGTTACGGAGAGCTGAAATTATTTCCTTTCCTCTTATTTTGTTTCACTCTAATAAAAACATTAGTAGGTTAAATAATTACTTCTTTTTATATTTTTTGGTACCTAGGATTGAATCCAGGGGTGCTTAACCACTAAGCCACATCCCCAGTCCTTTATTTGTATTTTATTTAGAGACAGTGTCTCCCTGAGTTGCTAAGTGTCTTGCTAAGTGCCTGAGGCTGGCTTTGAACTCTCAATTCTGCCTCAGCCTCCCGAGCCACTGGGACAGGCAGTGCCACCACGCCTGGCAAATAGTTTCTTCTTAAGAAGCAGAGTAACATATTGTTCGTTTTCCATGTGATGTGTGATGCAGCCATTATGAAGTCAAACAACAATAAGTGTTGGCAAGGATGTGGGGAAAAGGGTACACTTGTACACTGCTGGTGGGACTGTGTTGCAGTAATTCACTTGCAGGTCAGCATGGGAAAAGAAAGAAGAAGCAGAGCAAGCAAAGCAGCAGCAGAAAAAAAAGTCCTTTATTGTGTACAAGCAATCTTTTTATAGTATTGTGAACAAAGAAGGCAGCCTTCCAACATCAATAAATCAGGTCTTACAGCTAATTAAACATAGTACACAGAAGTTTTACTTTCTAATCAGAAGTGACCCGCTTCTCATGGCTAATCTACTCTCGGCCTGGAGTATGCTGAGCTCAGCTCTTTGTTAAGAACAGATAATAAAATTTTTCTCAGTGCCCTCCTAGCCCACTTGGCAGAACATCCCGTTTGCAGGCAAGTCCTCCCAAGGACAGCAGACACCTCGTTTTCAAGCATGTCCGCTGTTACCTATCTATACCTTGACAGAATATCCTGTTTGCAGGCAAACTCCATCAAGGACAGGAATAGTAACGCAGTCACATCTGATTCTCTACAGGACTGCAAATTGGTAAGACCAATTTGGAAAGCAGTATGGAGATACCTGGGAAAGCTGGGAATGGATCCACCATTTGACCCAGCTATCGCCCTCCTCGGACTATTCCCTGAGGATCTTAAAAGAGCGTACTATAGGGACACTGCCACATCAATGATCATAGCAGCACAATTCACAATAGCAAGACTGTGGAACCAACCTAGATGCCCTTCAATAGATGAATGGATAAAAAAAAATGTGGCATCTATACACAATGGAGTACTACCCAGCAATAAAAAATGACAAAATCATAGAATTTGCAGGGAAATGGATGGCATTAGAGCAGATTATGCTAAGCGAAGCTAGCCAATCCTTAAAAAACAAATGCCAAATATCTTCTTTGATATAAAGAGAGCAACTAAGAACAGAACAGGGAGTAAGAGCATGAGGAAAAGATTAACATTAAACAAAGACTAGTGGGGGGAGAGAAAGGGAGAGAGAAGGGAAAGCATATGGAATTGTAGGAGACCCTTAATGTTACACAAAATTACATAGAAGAGGATGTGAGGGGAAACGGGGGGAAACAAGGGAGAGAATTGAACAACAGCAGATGAGGTAGAGAGGGATGATGGGAGGGGAGGGGAGGGGGAATAGTAGGGGAAAGGAAAGGTAGCAGAATACAACAGTCACTAATATGCCATTATGTAAAAATATGAGTGTGTAACCAATGTGATTCAGCAATTTGTATTTGGGGTAAAAATGGGAGTTCATAACCCAGTTGAGTCAAATGTATGAAAGATGATATATCATGAGCTTTGTAATGTTTTGAACAACCAATAAAAAAATATAAAAAAAAAGAAGCAGAGTACTCTAAGGTATTTAAAAGTGTTTTTTTTTATTTCCCCCTGCTGAAGACATAAATATTCCCCTACCTCATATTTTTGAGAATTTGATTGAGCTCCTGTAGATAAAACTCTAAAGTGTGTGGGCTGCTGTTGAGAGACAAGCATTCAGGGGCGGTACACCTGTCAAACGGTAAGGCAGGTGTCCTAAGGCGAGCTCAGGGGGCTGGGGATGTGGCTCAAGCGGTAGCACACTCGCCTGGCATGCTTGCGGCCTGAGGGGCCCCAGCAAACTTTCAGACTGCCAGCTGATGATTGGCTCACAGCGGCCCCAGCAACTTCTAGCTGATTGGCATGCTTGCGGCCTGAGGGGCCCCAGCAAACTTTCAGACTGCCAGCTGATGATTGGCTCACAGCGGCCCCAGCAACTTCTAGCTGATTGGCTCCTCTGCGGTGATGCTCATTGAGCTGTTTCCCCTCCCTTTCAGACTGCCAGCTGATGGGCTGCCCTAACACTGGGTCTTCCTCGAGTTTTTAACTCACTGACCACACTGAACCTCCAGCAATTTATCAATTGCAGTTTAGTTTTTCCTAATCCCAGCCCTGGTTCCCTCAGTGGTTTCTATTTATGAACATTACTCTGGGAAGCTGTGATCCCTCTTTTTGCCTCTCTCCTGAATCTTGTGGGAAGTGGTTTGTCTATGTTCTTCCTCTCTTCAGATTCAAGCTCCAAGAAGTTGATTTTTAAGTCTGTTCAGCTTTTTACTTGTTGTTTAAGATAGAATGACATCTTCCAAGTTCCTTATACATGAAACTAGAAGTCTATTTGATTATCTTTTAATCTATATACAAACGTCCTTACCAACTATAAATTGAAAATGTACAGTATAATTTTCTGAGGCTTTTAAAAATAATTTGTGGTACATTTCTTCTGGTGGTTCTTCTTGGAAAATAGATTCCTCACATTTAATTTTATAAGGGAAGTGCCATTAGAGAAGAAAGGAATGTTCTTTAAAACAGCAATCTCAGAGTAACAGTTTTATGTTGAGACATGGAAGAGGATTTAGGATTGTTTAGAAATCCCCAGTACTTAAATGGTTTTAATACTCTTAGCAATCTGATTTTTTGTGGTAGTGAGATTAGTGTTAGATGGAGTGGAATCTATTTCAACAGAAAACTTTCTGTTGTTCATCTATATTTATAGATAGTTCTCCTAAGAACGTTTCCCTTGATGTGATGTCATTAGACACATTTTGAATAATTGTCCTATTTCTTAACAAATATGATACATTGGCTCTTCCAATAGCTCTTCTATCTGTAATATCTATCAGCATAGGCATAGAGAACAGAGGACCTTTTAGTCTCTTTTTATTTGAGGAAGTAGATGTTTACCTGAAGAGTCATAAGTTTCATTTCTAGCTCTGTACTTCCTATGACTTTTTTGAAAATGTTCAATCATATGTAGAATATAGTCTAAACCCGACATTATCCCATTCTGGTTTGTTTTTCTGATTAAGTCTCCTATCTTACATAAACAAAAATGAATCTCAGTTTACTTCAGATGTTAGGTCAATACCATGATACTATTTAAAACTTACTGGAGTTAAATTCTCCTACTGATAAATTTTCATTATTTTTTGTTATTTTGAATTTTTGTCTTGTGTTAATGTTTTCTATCCTGTTCTTTTAAGTTTTCCTCATAATTAAGTGATCCTGTTGATCTGGATCTTGCACTATCTAACTAAATCTTGAATTCTGTAATAAATACCTATTTTTCTGAGAATTAAAAATAAAAATCTAAGTTGTAACCCACAACTCAGATCTAGACCATGGTTTAACTTACGTGTCTTGCCTTCTGATCTGGCAATTTTATTGGGATATTCTACAATATGTATGAAAAATATGAGAAAGGGCAGATTGTTTAGGAAATTAAATGGAGAAAGAAAAGGAAATATGGTATGAGAATGAGGTAAAATTGTATAGAGAAAAACATTTCTTGAGTCTTTAGAAAATGAGAGATAGATATTGTTTCCTTTTCCTAAGAAGTAGACTTTTTAAAAAATATTTTTTAGTTGTAGATGGACACAATTTCTTTATTGATTTATTTATTTAATTTTTATATGGTGCTGAGGAGTGAACCCAGTGCCTCACGCATGTGAGGCAAGGGCTCTGCCACTGAGCCACAACCCAGGTTCAAGAAATAGGCTTTTATCACTTAATTCACCCACATTATCTAAAATGGACAAGTGATAATAAAAGTAGCTTCTGTTAAATTTAATATAGCAAACTTAGTATGTCTTACCTTGTATAAGGGAAAATGCTGTGCATTGAAAATATATGATACTTCCTGCTATGAGAGAGTTACATTCCAGTGTCAGTAGAGTGTGAAGGAACAAATGTGAATTTTCCACTTTTCTATGTGCCAGATGTGTTCCCAGATCCTGTAAATATTTTTTGACATATCTTATCCTAAGAAATATGTGGATTACCCCTCTATTCCCTCATTTTGTAGTTTGGGCAATGAAGTCTGAGAATTTAAATGATTTTTCCAATGTTGTACAGCACAAAGCTTATTGAGCCAGTATTTGGACTTTGATCTGTCTATTTGGACAGCTACAAATATCTATAGACAGCACAATGAGAAATACACTTATAGAGGCATAAAAATAGAGCATCAGGGCTTATTGCCACAAAGTCTCTTTAGTCGGAATATTTAAGGAAAACTTCATGAAGGAAATAACATTTGAGAAGGTTAAGGGTAGGATTTTTGCAGGTGGATATAGCAAGGAAGGCAAATGAGGGAGGTGTAGAATTGGAATTGAATTTATTAATTCATTTTGAAGCCAAAGCATATGCTCCATCTTATAAAAAACTAGAACTGTAAGAGCACATGCAGGGAAACAAGAAGACTGAAAAGGAATATATTACTTTGAGTTATAGAAGAAAAGGGTCTAAAGCAAGATCAAGATAAGAACATAGAGGACCTTCAATGCAAATACAAGAAGTTCTAGGATATAGAAGAAATCATTCCAAAACTAATTACTAACGGTGATTACATTGTATTTCTCTCCTTGGCAACTCTTATCTCAGAACTAATATTTCAGAGCAACTTGTGGTTTGTAGTGGTAATGGAGCAATATGGAGGTAGAGCTGCAGGTGAGGCTATAAAGCAGAGAACTGGAAAATGCTTTTGATGGAAACCAATGCTTTCTTTGATGTATTTATTTTTAGCGCAGACCATTTTTCAATATGGGACCTATATCAGAGGCTGATAAAAAAAGAGCAAGCAACCAGTCAATTCCACAACTAACTGATTTATTGGAAATTGCAAAGAAGGAACAAAAGTTTCTGATATTTGATCTTTTTGGCCCTCCACCAAAACATCCTCTCAGAAACACATTTGTTCGTGAAGTAGTAAGGGTGATCCTTGACTCGAAAATTGCGCAACATCTGGTATGTTTAAGTATATATGAAAGGAATTGGGAGGTGGGTAGCACATCCAGGAGCACAGTAGTTGAATTTGACCTACCTTATAGGTCTTCCCTGGGATCCTTAAGTAATTTTGTTTTCTATAGAAATGGAAATAATTTTTTATACAGCTACATGTGATTATCTGAGAAAGACCCAGTTAAATTAATCTCAGCGAGGGAAAATATTGAGACTGTTTGCTATTCTAAACCAAGTGGAATAACAGCACCTTGTTAAAGAGGCTTGTGTATAACAGCTGTGATGTGACCTGCACTATGACCAACATAGGCCTGTTAGAAAAAGCCTTCATAACATTAAGACTTTGAAGACTTAGATTTAATGAATAATATAGAAAGACAACTGGTTCTTTCTTGAACAGAGATTTTTCTCATCACGTTTTTCAGAAGCAGTCTCTGCATTTGGATACTCAGTCATTCCAAAGGGCTTAAATTCTCAGAATATGGGAGTATTATGAGTGAAACAGATATCTTCTTGAGAATGGAACTGTTTCCACAGATGAATCATAATAGTATCCTTGGTCTCAGGAAATATCTCCCCTCAATGATAAACTTTTAGTATCACCAATTAAGAAGAGGTTTTTTTTTTAACTCCCACCTTTCATCCATATCTACCAACTCCTCATCCACTTTTCAATGTGAAGCTTTCTCTACACAGTGGGCCCTTGATCCTTGATATTAATTGGTAACTGAAGAAGTCCTAATAAAACTCAGCTCCAGAACAGCAATGGTGAAAGGCCCCTTTATAAGAGTTCATTGGACAATATTAGCCAGGTTGACTCTCTTCACCAAGGACTGAATCTTTTTCTGTTTCCTACTGACTACTACCAGTGCTGGAGTGAAGTCTGATCCATTTCCCATGGGGTTGTTTGTACATAGACAGCTAACTATCCACTGAAGAACTTCCTGTTTTGCCTTACAGATTTTTTGGTTGCCATCTCATGATAGGGAGTATGTCAAGTATATGGCTCCTGGTTTTCAGCATGTGGGTCGTTTACTCTCCATTGAAGACCTAGCAAAAGAGAATATCAATATAATAAATGTTGACTACAAGAAGTTATTCTACAGTGGGTTGAGGTAAGTGTTTAACCACACCTCTCTTGGCATGTATTGCATTACTTGCATAGAATGTACATTCCACCTAAGGAACTGAACTACCTCTTCTCGTTTTAGGATATCTTTTTATGGTTATATACTTGGAATTTTATACTTTCTCCTTCCTATCCTCCCCTCCCTTCTCTGCCAACAGACATTTATCAAGTGTAAACTGTGGGAGGTCATCCTCACATGTGATTTGAGTTGTCTCCCTGGATGGGTGAGAGGCGCTTAGACACATCTTTGTGTTCAGAGCTTTCCCCACCCTTCTTAGGTCCGAGGGCTTGTCTGTGTGGAGGCATGTCTGGCCACTACCCTTGAAGACCCAATCGTTGCACCTGACCTTGGGACACTGCCCCCCTTGATTTTCATTGGATGGGATTTTCCCCAGAATTTTTTGTTCCCCAATAAAAGTCCACTCCCTGGTGTGTTCTCTCTCTCTCTCTCTCTCTCTCTCTCTCTCTTGCTGGCCTCTTCAGTAAACCTCTCTACCCTAATAGGTAGCTGGAGGCTGGAGGTAGGAGAAGCCGTTCTGGAGCTGGTTTAAAGGTAATTAGAGTCTGTCTCTTTAATTCAAACTCCCTTCGGATTTCTCACGTAACTGAACCTTCATTTATGAAGTCTGTGCCGGCCATGGGCTAAAGTAGATTATGCGTTTTGAGCTCCTTCTCCTCTGTGCTCCAGTCTGTTACCATTCAACACACTTTTTGTATACTTGGCATGTCTTTTTTTTTCTTTTCATTGATGCTGTTGTTGTTACCACTGAAACTACATTCCTGGCCCTTTTTCATTTATTTTGTGACAGCATCTCACAAAGTTGTCCAGGCTGGTCTCAAACTTGTGATCTTTCTGCCCCCAGCTTCCAGTATAGTTGTGATTACAGGTGTATGCAGCTACACCTGGCCACATTTCTGTTTTTATATATGGTAATCATTGAAAAGTCAAACTCAAAACTTGTTTATTTCCTCTTACCAGATGGATTGAAGTGCCTCATAAATAGTTTTCTGATCTAGATAGCCATATGTCTTATAGGCATAATTCAGAATATATCTAAACCATTATTAGGAAAAAAATTAAAGTAGCCAAACATGAGAAGCAAGTAAAATTCTTTCTTTCTTTCTTTCTTTCTTTCTTTCTTTCTTTCTTTCTTTCTTTCTTTCTTTCTTTCTTTCTTTCTTTTCTTTTCCTTCCTTCCTTCCTTCCTTCCTTCCTTCCTTCCTTCCTTCCTTCCTTCCTTCCTTTCTTCTTTCCTCCTTTCCTTCTTCTAATCAGTTATACATGACAGCAGAATGCTCTTTGATTCACTGTGCACAAATAGAGCATAATTTTTCACTTCTCTGGTTGTACACAAAGTATGGTCACACCATTTGTGCAATCATACATGTACGTAGGGTGATGATGTCCATCTCATTCCACCATCTTTCCTATCCTCTTGCCCCCTCCTCTCCCCGCTTTCCCCTTTGGCCAATCCAAAGTTCCTCCATGTCCCCCCACTATGAATTAGCATCCACTTATCAGAGAAAACATTCAGCCTTTGGTTTTTTGAGATTGGCTTACTTTGTTTAGCATGATATTCTCTAACTCCTTCCATTTACCTGCAAATGCCATAATTTTAGAGAAGCAAGTAAAATTCTTAATTACCATATTTATAAATATACAATTGAACATAGATTTCAGAATTAAAACACATGGAAATAAAATAACTCTTCCAGACTTGACTGTTTGGAATCACTTTTTAATTATCTCCCTAAAATTACCAACTATGTTGTACAGTGGATTTATCATCATTTCCCACTTGTAGAGGTTAGGCAGTTCACGAAAGTTAATATAATTGGTCAGTGGTGAACCTGGTATTTAGATATAAGGTGGACAGACTACAGAGTCCAAATTCTTTTCTTTCCCCTCTATGCCTTTAAAGTTGTTTCTTGGCCATGGTTATATGGGCATGGTTTCCACTGGCATCAGATTTAACGGAGGATCATTTCCTGAGTCCTAAAGTCAAGTAGTTTAGTTTAGCTCAGTAAATATTTACTGAGTAGAAATATGTACAGTAATATACCGTGATAATTTTATATGAAGGTCAACATAAGCGATACACCATCCATCTCCTTAAGGAAGGCATACACAGTAGTATGGGAAATAAGCTTTTTCCTTATAGTTTTAATACAAAGTAAGTCATGAACAGTTCATGAGCAGGAATCTGTTACAAACCATTTCCTTCAAGGGAATAAAGAATTTTAAGAGAGTAAACAGTTACAGCTTAAATATTTATAATGCTTATAACCAGAATATTTTTAAGATTCCATATATAAGTAAAATAATACAATATTTATCTTTTTATGCCTAACTTATTTTATATAGTATGATGTCTTCCAGGTTCATCCATATTGTTGCAAATGACATTTTCCTTCTTTTTCGAAGCCGAGCAAGATTCCATTTTTTGGATATACCTCGTCATCTTAGTCCATTCATCCACTGGTAGACGCTTGGATTGATTCCATATCTTGGCTGTTATGAATAATGCTGCATTGAATATAGGAGTGCAGATAGCTCTTTGCCATGTTAATGTCATTTCCTCCAAATACATACCCAAAAGTGGGATTGATGAATAAAATGACAATTCTAATTTTAGTTTTTTGATGATCCACCAGCCTGTTTTCCTGTATTTATGTTCCTACCATCAATATATAAGTTCCTTTTCTTTACATCCTAGCCAACACTTAAATTCTTTCATCTTTTTTATAATAACCCTGCTAACAGGGGAAAGGTAAATCTTACTGTGATTTTAATTTGCATTTCCTGAGGATTAGTAATGTTGAGTATTTAACTCATTTTTTTAAAAAATCAAGTGGTTTTCTTTTTTTTATTGGTTGTTCAAAACATTACAAAGCTCTTGACATATCATATTTCATACATTTGATTCAAGTGGGTTATGAACTCCCATTTTTACCCCGTATACAGATTGCAGAATCACATCGGTTACACATCCACGTTTTTACATATTGCCATATTAGTAACTGTTGTATTCTGCTATCTTTCCTATCTTCTACTATCCCCCCTCCCCTCCCCTCCCATCTTCTATCTCTACCCCATCTACTGTAATTCATTTCTCTCCCTTGATTTTTTTCCCCTTTCCCCTCATATCCTCTTATATGTAATTTTGTATAACAATGAGGGTCTCCTTCCATTTCCATGCAATTTCCCTTCTCTCTCCCTTTCCCTCCCACCTCTCGTCCCTGTTTAATGTTAATCTTTTTCTCATGCTCTTCCTCCCTGCTCTGTTTTTAGTTGCTCTCTTTATATCAAAGAAGATATTTGGCATTTGTTTTTTAGGGATTGGCTGGCTTCACTTAGCATAATCTGCTCTAATGCCATCCATTTCCTTGCAGATTCCATGATTTTGTCATTTTTTAGTGCAGAATAATACTCCATTGTGTATAAATGCCACATTTTTTTAATCCATTCATCTATTGAAGGGCATCTAAGTTGGTTCCACAGTCTAGCTATTGTGAATTGTGCTGCTATGAACATCGATGTAGCAGTATCCCTATAGTACGCTCTATTAAGGACTTCAGGGAATAGTCCGAGAATGGCAATAACTGGGTCAAATGGTGGTTCCATTCCCAGCTTTCCCAGGAATCTCCATACTGCTTTCCAAATTGGCTGCACCAATTTGCAGTCCCACCAGCAATGTACAAGTGTACCCTTTTCCCCACATCCTCTCCAGCACTTGTTGTTGTTTGACTTCATAATGGCTGCCAATCTTACTGGAGTGAGATGGTATCTTAGGGTGGTTTTGATTTGCTTTTCTCTGATTGCTAGATATGTTGAGCATTTTTTCATGTACTTGTTGATTGATTGTATATCCTCCTCTGAGAAGTGTCTGTTCAGGTCCTTGGCCCATTTGTTGATTGGGTTATTTGTTATCTTATTGTCTAATTTTTTGAGTTCTTTGTATACTCTGGATATTAGGGCTCTATCTGAAGTGTGAGGAGTAAAGATTTGTTCCCAGGATGTAGGCTCCCTATTTACCTCTCTTATTGTTTCTCTTGCTGAGAAAAAACTTTTTAGTTTGAGTAAGTCCCATTTGTTGATTCTTGTTTTTAACTCTTGTGCTATGGGTGTCCTATTAAGGAATTTGGAGCCCGACCCTACAATATGTAGATCGGAGCCAACTTTTTCTTCTATCAGACGCAGAGTCTCTGATTTGATATCAAGCTCCTTGATCCATTTTGAGTTAACTTTTGTGCATGGTGAGAGAAAGGGATTCAGTTTCATTTTGTTGCATATGGATTTCCAGTTTTCCCAGCACCATTTGTTGAAGATGCTATCCTTCCTCCATTGCATGCTTTTAGCCCCTTTATCGAATATAAGATAGTTGTAATTTTGTGGATTGGTTTCTGTGTCCTCTATTCTATACCATTGGTCCACCCGCCTGTTTTGGTACCAGTACCATGCTGTTTTTGTTACTATTGCTTTGTAGAACAGTTTGAAATCTGGTATCGCTATACCTCCTGATTCACACTTCCTGCTTAGAATTGCTTTTGCTATTCTGGGTCTTTTATTTTTCCATATGAATTTCATGATTGCTTTATCTATTTCTACAAGAAATGCCGTTGGGATTTTGATTGGCATTGCATTGAACCTATAGAGAACTTTTGGTAATATCGCCATTTTGATGATGTTAGTTCTGCCTATCCATGAACAGGGTATATTTTTCCATCTTCTAAGATCTTCTTCTATTTCTCTTTTTAGGGTTCTGTAGTTTTCATTGTATAAATCTTTCACCTCTTTTGTTAGGTTGATTCCCAAGTATTTTATTTTTTTTGAGGATATTGTGAATGGGGTGTTTTTCCTCATTTCCGTTTCAGAAGTTTTGTCGCTGATATACAGAAATGCCTTTGATTTATGCGTGTTGATTTTATATCCTGCCACTTTGCTGAATTCATTTATTAGCTCTAGTAGTTTCTTTGTAGACCCTT